ACTGAACTTGTGGTCTAGTGTTTATCCTACAATCCCACACCAGGACTCCTCCATATATATACTGTTTATAGTCGGTTCAAACCTATCTTGCAACATATTAACCACAGCGCCACACCAGGACTCTCTCTCTCTGTATATATACACACACACAGTATATATATAGTATATGTATACACAGTATATATGTATATATATAGTATATACAATATATATGTGTGTGTATATATATATATATATATATATATATATATATACACATATATACATATATACACACACACACAAGAACTCTAATGTATATACTGTGACCTTAAACATATATATATAACTTTTGATAAATGTTGTAACAAGTGAAACAGAGAGGGTAAGCTGGGAGAAAAGTGTGGAATCAATGGAACTCAGGGCTTTAAGGGAAACCAATTCTCACAAATGGAAGAACAGCAACTATGGAAATGAATAACAAAGGCAAGATTCAACACTCAAAAAAAAAAAAAAAAACCCAAACCCCTGCACATTTCTGGAAATGCTACAAACAAAATAAAACATAAAATACAAAATTAAGCAAAATGATACAGGACTAAAATATATAATATAGCATATTCAACTGGAAGAAAATGTCCATAATTTAGCTTTCTTTCAATTGAATATAAAAAGTGGTGGGTAAAGCTTTTGCTGGCTGAAATCCCTTCAGTCTTCACCAATGCTGCCTGCCATTCCAATTGTCAATACCCATGCCATTAAATTCCTTTAGTTTTTACTTCTATTTTCCCCATATACTCTGGCATTCAGCGTCCTGTTTTAGCACTATAGGATAAGCACTGTATTGCTAACTGCAAGGTCGGTCGTTCAACCCCACCAGTCAATTCTTGGAAACCCTGTATACAGTGTAGCTACGAGTTGGGTTTGATGGCATTTAACAACACAACAACAATTCTATCATTCCAACCCAGAAAAAAATACTTTCTCTATGGAAAACAATACCTAATTCAGAATTGAAAATATTGCAATAGGGATTTGGTTGTGATTTTTCTGAATCCTGGTGTGTCACTGTGGGTTACTGCAATGGACTGAAAAGTTGCTTTGAGCTGCAGCACGATCCACTCCTTGGGAACCTTATACAGGGTCGCTATGGATTAGAACTGACTTGATGGCACTTAACAACAGCAACAACCACTTACTGAATATAGGCATTCCTGTTCTTTGCATTCTAGCATCTCTGAGTCAGGAATGGAGGAAAGTTGAAAAATATTTAAATACAGAAGAAAAAAAGCAAATGATATAAGTCCAAAATTGTAACAGATTTAATTTCACTCAATAGAGATATAATTCATAGAATCAGGGATTCCTTATACCTTAGAGGTTATTCTAGTTCAACTTTCATCCAATTTGGGAATGCTTTTCAATGTATCACTTGTATGTGATTATCCAGCCACTGGTTGGTTTTTCTGCTATAGGAAGCTGTTTTAGAGGCAACATGATCAAGTGAACAGTGGCATCAACCCCTTGTGATTTACCAATTACTTAGATTCTATAATTTTAGTATTGGAAAGTTCATTAGAGAATATCTAATTTAGTGATCTCCAAAATTTACACCTTGAAACAGCATTTCTACACTCACTAATTTTAACAAAAGGAATTCCACAGTCCTTTTGGTGGTGGTAGTGGTGTTAAGCACATTTTAAAGACTTTTTCAATTAAGGAATCTCCTGAGTTGTGTGTGAATATTTATTGTATCTCTTCAGTGGTGTATCCTGATGTTCTCCAAGCTAATCTGACTATAGGAAATTTGATCCATAAAATGCACATCAGGACCATTATTGCTTCATTTTTAGTAAATGAGGAAACTAAGTCAATCTTTTTTCCTTTTCTTTCCGATGTATCAGTTAATACAGTCACTAAATCATTCAATAATTGTTGTTAATGTCACATGAGCCTTTGTCAAACCTAGGAAGCACAGACCATTCTTGAACTTCAGCATGTACCTAAAAATATTTTAAATAAGTTTTAAAGCATTCTACTCAAGATAAACATTCTTGCTAATTTATTTTATTTAAATACTTATAGGTAAGAAATTAAGAATATCATCTTTTTTCTCAAAAAGAGGAAAAAAAAAATTTTTGTTATTTTTATTTGTAGGTATTTGATTCCTAATATTGAATAAAATCCTGGTCAAATTTCTCTTTCTATGGAACTCTTAACTACAAGGTATGATCAATATCTGTAATATACTGAACTCAGACAAGTTCAACAGACATTGAATTCAATGATTTTACCAAATAAAAAATAATAAAAATCAACTCTGGTGGATCCTTAAAATTTTATATTTCAATACAAAATGTGAGGGTTACTATTGAATCATAGATTCCCAATGTTATTAATAAGCATTTATTTAATGCCTATTGTTGAGTTTGATCATAAAAAATATGATATCTCAGTAATTTTTTGAGAGTCTGAAGAAAACATATTGCAAGTGGTTATCTTTCTTAATAAAATTATATATACCCAAGCACTAGCATTAGTAATAAAGAGATTGATAGTGTAAGAAAATACTTTTGCATCATTTGTCCCTTCTTTTTATCTCTTTGAAAGTTTCTTAACCATCTGTTGCCCAAATATATTTCTACTCTAGTATTTCAGTGTCGAAAATTGAAATTACTAAAATAGTTACTTAGAAAATGGAAAAAGAAAATATCACTTGAGGCTTTTGATCATGGATTTATGCTCATATCAACATCTAATACTATTTGTATTGAATTTTTAAATGTAGAAATTTGGTTTAAATGGCAATAAACTTATATTTTTCATTCATATGTGAGTATAAACACACACACAAAATGATAGGTTCAAGGAGAAATGAAAGATAAAGTGACATTGTGAAAATAATTTTTTTTTTTTCCCCCATCCTAGCAGCAAAAGTGGAATAATTACACTTCTGGGTTCTTATTTATCATAGATACAGTTACTTATCTCAACTAAAAGGAGGCATTGAGATTCAAATATTTTCCATAATCTGTTTTATAGATATATTTTATACCTGAATGAAAAAGTTTTATCATTCCTATATTTTTGCTATGCATTTTTTATAAGAGAAACATTAATAAACTCCATACACTGAATTCACTTTCTCTTATCAGATCTTGGCCAGAAAATAATCACAACTCTCTTCCTATATATCCATTCTGAAGATTATTTAAACTCTTTATGTGTCAATGTATACTGGAATTGTAGATATAAATTCTACATGAAGAACCCAAGGCATTATAGCCTAACCCATTTATTGATTTATTTGTGTCTCAGTTTTCTTCCTATTTTTGATTTGAAGTAATGGCAGTTCTCAAGAAAAATCTGTTATCACAAGGTTACATGCAAAGAAGTTTCAAAAAGTTTGTGGGAAAAATAGAATTCAAAGGTGATGGAATTTTCTTATGAACCTTGGACAGCCCCTAATATATTATTAGGTCATTGAGTGTTAATGATGAAATTAAATTTGATTATTCCTTGTAATAGGCCCACAAAATTATAAGAGCATTTGGTTTGAATCTGATAAACCTTTGTAGATTTGGATCATTAGAAATATGTATGTGCTGTATTTTCAAAAAATGTCTGTCAAGAACTATCACAGAAAACAAAGCTCTTTAGCTATGAGATCATAGTGAACATACACGTAAACACACACACATAAAGTTTTTTTTTCTTTACATCAAACATATATCCTAGGGGATTGCTGTATACCTGAGAAATCTGAGGAGACAGAAAGTGAGTTGAAATATTGCTTCAGAAACAAGACAAGTTTATTTCTTTCTTACCATAACATCTGATGAGTCTTCAGTCTTAGAGCCAAGATGTTATAATAATAGCCACACTAGATTACTTCCTTACTTCAAGAAACATCTTTTGATTGGAAACCTGTGCCCTAGACCTACATTTAGATGTGCATTGATAGAGTTACACTGTGTAAATCAAAATGGTCAGGTATTCTAGTAACCAGTCATATTCTAAAAGAGTTTTATTTCTAGATAAAATAACACTGGGACCTAGAATACTTGCTTTCAAAACCCAAAAAGAAGAGCGATAAAGCCAAGGATGAAGTTTCATTTAGTCCAATAAAAACACAGAGCAACTATTACAGATAGTGTCTCTGTTGTAGGCAATATTTACATACAGGCATGTAATAAGAAATGAAATTTACTAACTTTTAATCAAATTAGAACTGTAACTGTCTAGCTGATCATGAACTTCAACCCCACATTTAAATATAAGAGAAAAAAAATTCAAATAATGTTAACTAGCCCATATCCTTGTTGCTGTCGTTGCTAAGCGCCATCGAGTCGGTTCTTACTCATAGTGACCTTATATAGGGTCTCTAAGGAGCAGCTGGTAAGTTTGAACCACAACCTTGTGGTTCAAACTGACCTTGTGGCCCAAGGCTTTATCCCACAGTAGCACCTCCAGGACCCCAACCCATATCCTTAACATCAAATAATTTAAAGGTCACAGTGACAATATTAGAATTTAAGGCTCTTGTTTGCAAATCTATTACGCTTTCCTCTCTACAATTCCTTTCCAGTTGATGTGAACTTTCATTTTTAATTTAAGAACCACATTTTACATTTCCCATTATAATTTTTTTTTAAAGAAAAAAAAGGTCAGGTAGCTTTATTTGTGTATTTGACTTCAGGTCAATATACCTTTCACCACACATAATATAATAAGGATGGAAACAAGTTTCCATTAAATACATTTACATGTTCACATAAATAATATGTGACTTTTTAATTAAAGCAGTAGCATGGTGAGTGATAGTCATTTTAGTTTCTTTCTCTATCACATCAACACCTTTAACTCTTTTGAACTTTAGGAAAAGTTTCCAGAAAAAGGAAATGCCTCTCAATACACTTTTCAGTCTTTACCAGAAGTTATTACTCTAGGAAAATAATACCATGTTTATAATGAAAGTTCATATATTCTTCAGCCTTTGGTTAAAGAAAAGAACAACTTACCTTTGATGTATGCATATTGGTCAATAAATCTGTTTCTAACGCCTTCATTTCCTCTTCTGAATCTTAGTAAAATGAAAACCACATGTTTACTACATAATCATGTATCATATTGTAACTTTAGATTTTAAATTAATCTGAAAAAGTCTTAGAGGTTTATTGTCTTTTCTATACTTTTTATTCTTCTTAAACAGTTTCAGAAAATACAATAATAATTTTATGTTAGGTTAAAAGGCAACTAGAATATTATAAATGTTTCTAAGAAAATAAGCACAGGGGTATTTTCTAAGAGAGCTATTGATGATTAGAAGTTTAATCTCTGAATTTATATTAAAAACAAAATTAAGCAGAAAAATGATTTTATTTTATAATCAAAATTTTATCATGGAAATAAATCATGCTCCGGTACTTCATTTTTACTACAATAGCTTATATAGAAAGAAAATGTTCATACTGAGATATCTTAAAAAACAAACAAAAAACACACACACAACAAAATGTTACATATAACAGACCTTTTTACCAAGAGGAAAATACAAGAAATTGCATACTGATTATGTCAGAATTAGAACAATACCAGGATTTAGTTAACCTGAGATGCTGTTTTACAAATCTCACTTTTAAAGAATTGCTTTTCCATTTTAAACAAAAATTGAGGATTACGTATACTTGACAGCAATTTGATCACAAACAAGTAAGGAAATTGTTAACAGTAGAGCTGGCGTTGTCTACCAACTCGAGCATAGTAGTGTTGAAAATGCATTCTCAAGTTTTCAGATTATCCTCTCCACTTTTTACTAATGAATATCTTAGAAAGAAGAAAAGCTAAGAAAACAAAGATAAAGAGCTCTATAGTAGCTTAATTCATACTCACTGATCTATATAAACGTAAATGTAAAAGTGACTACATTTATTTTTAAAAGTGTTACACTTGGAGAAATCATTTGTTAAGCTGACTCTAGGAGCAAAATATTACCAATGATTTTTCTTCTCTATTATTAGAGACCTAATATTCTTTTTCAAAAGGCATGTGAAATCTACAATTTGTTACCAATATGTACCAAAATTCCTAGATATTTTGACTTATCACAACAAGTAGTTTTAAGAGTTGCTAGAGAGAGATTTTAGTCAAAAAACCAGGGTTTTCTCACGTACTCTAATTGTCTATACCTTTAATCTCAGATGACTAGTTGATAATGTCATAATCATAGAAAAGTTGGTATCTATCTATTAAATGACTCCTGGTGTGGTGCTGAAGGACCAGCATTGGACTGTGAACCACAAGGGCAGCCGTTAAAACCCACCAGCTGTTCCTCAGAAACCCTGTACAGCATCACTATGAGTCAGAATTGACTGGATGGCACTTAACAACAATCTATTAAAACATTGAAAATTCAGATATTTAGAATTCTTTTATAACGATTGATATAAATAGAAAATGAGTCACAAAAGTAACATAACCTCTGATAGATTTAACTTCACAGTTTAAATAAAATTTTAACATAACTGTGACTTAAATTTTTCAGTATGACATATTATGAAATATAAAAAGAAAACAAGCTAAATGATTTTTTACTTCACTTTATTTCTAAGGTTTTTTTTCCATTATGAAGTATGTAATCATCTGATTATTTTACAAGTATCAATTAGAATACATTCCCATAATGATATCCCATGTTACTCCTTTGGATTTAAATCTTATTTTCAAGATGAGTTATTGATATTTAGCAATATAGGTCTTCTCCTTTATTATCACATGCAAAACAGCCCAAAGCCAAATCATTTCTGCTAATGTAACACTAATTTCACACTTTACATTTTTATCAATTTAAATAACATATGAAAAAGAAAAATTTAAATTAATACCATGGTTAATTATCATATTGCTATATATATAAAATGCATTCTCAGAAAGGACTTGGGACATTTTTTTTCCCCCTAGAAATGATTTTCTATAAATAGTGCTTTATTCATTAAACATAATTTTCACTTTATTTGGAATCTTCACACAAAAAAATTGGAAAGTAATTTGGGGACATTTACAAGTGTGAGAAAGGGAGAGGACATTGCATCCTAAGAGAATCACTGAAGATGAGAGTAAATACTTTTGAATAAAACAGATTTAAGTGAGGAGTCTATATTTAGTTTGACAGGCAGTGCATCTGTACTTCTTAGTTGATAATGGACAATCTAATTATGATTTGCATCTCCCTTACCCCCTGTAAAGTGGTTAAATTATAAAGCAGAGCATGCAAGATTTCATTAAATTAAATTTATTGCTTTACAGATTTAAAAAGGGAGAAATAAGTCTCTCAGTTACTTAAGAGCCAAGTCAGAGTAAAAAAAATAATATTTAGTTTCTATCATTAGAAAGCGAATCTAAAAAATGAGAGAAGCTCTTTTCCCTGGATACATAGCATAAGTAACAACACAATGGAGAAAAAGGAAAACAAATCAGTTCAGGGAGTTGTGAAATGCAGTTCGGCTTACCTGAGCACAGACTCCAAGAGCTGAAAGCCAGAAGTAACATGCACACCAGCTGGATTTTTATTCCTGCCATCTTCTCCAGCCTAGCAAGCCAAGTCCCCAAAACAGCAGAGACACGCTGAAGTGGATCTCTCGCTAGGGCTTCCTCTTGCCTTAGATTGACTGACTGTGACTGAACTATGAGAGATGCTCTGGCCATCCCTAAATATATAAGCAGGAGGAGGATTTCATGAGTACACAGGGATTATCTCTTCAGGATGTACCCTCCTTCCCCCTCCCACCCTCCCACTCCCCCCTCCTCTGCCACCCCTCTCTTCTCTCAAGTCTGAACCTTGAGTGAAAGTGACGATCTTCCCTAATTGCTGCTGCTGCTACAGATTTCTGACGCACAGAAAAAGTCATCAAAACCATGTCCTTATAGAGGATACTGAAAAAGAACTGTCAGTACTATTCTCTCCATTCCCTGCACCACACACTCTAAAAAAAAGTTTTCATTTGATTTTGTAAAGCTTGTGATTTGCTATCTCTAATACTTAAACAAAATATTGAAGGCATATCTATGAAGTTAGTGATCTCATAGGTTTGGAAGTTCTTCCATAGTTGGGTACTTTTCTAATAATCTAAACACCTAGGCAAATGTTCTGTGGTTTGGAAATGAAACTGTTCATTACAGTTTACATAATATGAGGGAAAAGTAAGTACAAAAAATAAAAAGATGGAACATATAGTGATTAAGGCAATATATCTTGAATCTAGAGAGAGAGAGAGAAAGACAATAAAAAGACCAAAAAATAGTAGCTCTAAGGAATTGGATATTATTTTCTGACACATTGAAAGGTTTCTTCTTTTAAAAGTAACCAAGCAAACGGCTTAATTGTGTATACTAACGGATGGTCGAATGGCTTAGAAAACAATTTTGTATGTATTTAGATTTCAGCTATAAATTATTTATGTCATAGTAGGTGAAAATATGAGCTGTGGTATTGATGATTGCTGATTTTTAATCCTTTTCCCTTTTTCTGCCTGCAGGTCTCTCGTCTTTTTTGATTCATTGTTATTGCTATATATGACTCTTCATATAATCATCTTCCCAATGATTTTCACCATTGTATCAGTTTTCTTGTCCTTCTACAGTCCTCTCTTTACCATTTATAGGATACTGTCCTTTCAGAAAGGAGGAAATCCTAAATAACCACCATCCACCAAAGTAGCATTTCTAACACGCATCTTCATCTATTTTCTGAACTGAAATTGCAGTCATTCTATTTCTGGGTTCTTGGAAGAAAATTGCTCAAATGCCTTTTAGAGTAAAGTTTTCTTATTGTGTTAGGTATTTCCGGATATATAGAGTAATACAAAAGGAGAATGCTATTAGAAATGTGAATATTTGAAAGTAAAATATCTGAAACATTAATTTAATAAATTAATCATGTAGCAGCAGTTTGAGAAAAAAAATTGAATTTATTTTTTATGCACTACATGTACATGAAGGAGCTCTGGTAGCGTAGTGGTTACGAATCGGGCTGTGAATCGCAAGGTCAGCAGTTCGAAACTACCAGTTGCTCCGCGGGAGAAAGATGAGGATTCCTTTTTCCCTTATTTTAAAATGTATTTTAAAGATTTACAGCCTCGGAAACCCTGTGCAGGGTCGTTATGAGTCAGAACCGACTCCACGGCACATAACAACAACAACATGTACATGAGATTAAGCTCTCCATCTCTAAAATAAATTTGAGGAAAGGGGTGTCCCAAACATTTAGTAAATATTTCAAACAGTATGGAGTTACTGTGTAATACAATGTTAAGAAATTTAACAGTAGTAATATTTATGTTGCTTTCAATTTTTCATGAAAATGTAGAGAACTCTTGAATAAGGGGTGATTAATAGGCAAAGAAACCTGAAATTTATACAGGTAAAAAGGTTTGCTTTCCTACCATTAGGGGGCACATAGGACGTTTCAAACACTTTTTATTTGTACTTAACTGATCATGTAAGAATTCTGAGAAGAAAGCTTATTTTCCTCTCACTATCAGAGCATCTTTATGAAAGAATCCTTTAAAACCACCTTGATGAAGAAATTAACAAACTACATACTTTTGCATGCTGTTTAAATTGTTTCCTCTACTTTTGTCCTGAAAATACGATAGATAGATAGATGATAGATAGATAGATAGATAGATAGATAGATAGATAGATAGATCTCTATATATATCATGTATGGGTATATATTGTGTGTGCGTGATCTCCTGGTCTGGTGCTATAGAAGCACTGGACTTCTAACCATAAGGTTGGCAGTTCAAACCCTCCATCTGCTCCTTGGAAACCTTATACAGCATCACTGTGAGTCGGAAGCAACTCAAAGGCTCTTAACAATTGTGTTTAAGTGCCATAGATGTCTAAACATAAAATGAGAACATGATTCCTTTTTCTCTTATTTTAAAATGTATTTAGTAAGAGAAGTTCAAATGCATATTGATACAATGTACCCTTAATTACCATAACTAGAAAGCAAGGATATGAGGTATTTTCAGTAACCTCACATGCATGCAAAAGCTGGACAGTGAATAAGGAAGACGGTAGAAGAACTGATGCATATGAGTTATGGTGTTGGAGGAGAATATTATAAGTACGATGGGCTGCCAAAAGAACAAACAAATCTGGGTTGGAAGAAGTACAGCCAGAGTGCTCCTTTGAAGCCAGGATGGCCAAACTGTTCTCTCATACTTCAGGCATAATATCAGGTGGGACTATTCATTGGAGAAGGATATCATGCTTGGTAAAGTGGATGGTCGGCGAAAAAGAGGAAGACCCCCAATGAGATGGATTGGCACAGTGGTGGCAGGGCTAGACTCAGGCATAGCAACCATTGTGAGGTTGGCCCAGGACCCTGCAGTGTTTTGTTCTGTTTTCCATAGGGTGTAGCTGTGAGTAGGTACTGAATTGATGATACCTAACAATAAAAACAATATGGAGTCCTGGTGAGGCGCTGTGGGTTAATGCGGCAGACTGCAAAGCCGTTTGAACTGCAAGGTTGGCGGTTCAAGCTCACCAGCTGCTCCTTGGAAACCCTATACAGGGTCGCTATGTGTCAGAATCAACTTGATGGCACTCAACAACAACAATAACAACAACAGAAAGCAGGGAGGGGAGTAATGGAAATTTATTTTAAGTATATCACATGACTTTATTATTAAGTGCAGTTGAGTCAATTCTGACTCATAGCATCCTTATGTAGAGTTTCCAAGGAGAGACTGCTGAGTTTGAACTATCGACCTTGCAGTTCACACCTACCTCGAAGCACATTAACTCACAGCGCCACAGCAAGACTCCATCACATGAATAGTAGTTGTTAATGTGAGAACTGTTTTACATATTTGAAAATCTGAAAGAATTACAGGAAATTGTGTCAATTATTTCAGATGATTCAAAATACAATAGATTATACACTTGTGTTTGTTTTTTCTTCATGGAGGGTGGGAGCATGGTGGAGTGTAACTTTTGTCCTTGGTAACTTTATCTGAGTACGGATTTGTATTTTTAATCTGATCTTCCTTTTTAGCACCATGCTATCATGATACAGAAAAGCTAATTTATTTAAAAGTGGAGTGTAGAGGGAGGGGGAAAGGGAAGGTTATGTGTGCATATTTGCATCTAAAATGTATCCTAGTAAATACCCAGGTTATGTGTTTAATGGCAGAATTTTGAGACTTTCCTGAGAGGATTGGTGATATTTCTATTATAAATTATATTTATCCTATAACTTAAGTTTTAACTGTTCTCAAAATAACTAATAAACAGCCTTCATAAATGTGTGTAAGTCTGCCAGTTTAGGATCACTAGGAGCTGTTGACTTTAAGTGGATTTTCCTGACAAGCGTAACTGCTGATTGTGGCAATTCTACAATACACAGACTTCTGACCTACTGCGGCTTAAGTTAGACCTTTACTTGGTAATTACTCAAAGTAACCTAATCAACAGAGCTGTCGGAATAATTGGCATTTAGAAAAGATAGTCTGAAAACTCATTTAATTTGGAGATAAAGAAACTCAGGAAAAACTTGATGACAGTTTCTTATTATTTCTTTCTGAACCTTCATAGGCTTCATCACCTCATTAACAACATTCTGGGCTCTACACATTTTTTACACCCTAACAACTAAAATTTAGCATATGGTGTTTCTACCACCTGGAGTCTGTCTCCTATCTTCCTCTTGCTCCCTATTTTACCCTTTCTGGCACCCTCTCTAATTTTTAAAACACATTCTCTTCTAAATGAACCTTTCCAAAATTGAATATTGAAAGTAGCCCTGTCTACCTCTACTTCTCCCAGTTCAAACACTCATCAATTCTTTGTATTGTTTACAGTAAAGTATAGACTTCTAGAAGGAGCTGACTCTCATTTATCATTCTATTACCTATTCCTTGAATGCTGACAACTTAAACATTCCCAATATCCGTTTTCTACATAGAATTGCAATACTAATTTTACCTTTCTAACTTATTCTTCACTATTCCATTTTCAGCATTTCTTTCAGTTATATCTTTATTTTTAAACGTTGTCAATTTTCTTAGCCTATACTCTAGTTATTATCTTCCTCCCTAACTAGGAAATTCAACTTAAAAAAAAAAAAATCACTTAAAAAGAGCACTCTGAGCTCATGTGCATTAATCAGCTGAATGCTTAAGATAAACTGTGGATTTACTCCATTCCTCTAAATGAGTCCTTTGGTTTGGAGCTGTAACTCTGATTCATCTAAATAAACAATGTTGTCCATCTCCTTGTAAGCTTAATCGACTTTCCTGTTCAATTAAAGATCATTTTATAGAAATATAGATAGTGATGTGCATGTACACACTCATGCATACAGTCTTTAACAAACAAATACACATAGATAGACCAGACCTTGAGATTAAGATAATCGTAACCCAAACATCCCATTCCCTAATCTACCTGTATCTGTGCATCCCTTGTAATCTCTGCAAACTCCCAGCTCATTTCCTCTTGACTCTTCCTGCCTCCACTCTTGCAATTTCATAATAATTCACTTGAAAAGATCGGCAATGTATTTCTGTAATCACTCTTTGCAATTTAGACTGTAATTACAACATATGCTTTACCAAGGACTTAGCAGTTTTATGAGTTGCCATATTTGAATAAAGGTACCTTAGTTAGTA